GAAAGTAAATACGAGTGCTTACCATCCCCAATCAAATGGAGCGTTAGAGAGGAGCCATTCAACCTTAGCAGATTACCTCAAACACTATGTAAGCGAAGATCAAACTAATTGGGATAAATGGTTAGACTTTGCTATGTTTTCATACAACACAAGTAATCACACATCGACTCAATATACACCATTTGAATTAATATTTGGTTTCAAAGCAAATTTGCCTAGTTCCATAACTAAGGAACCTCAATTTAAATATTATTATGACACATATTTAGACGAATTAACTTTAAAATTAAGAAAATCACGTGAGATAGCAAGAAATAAATTAATAAATTCAAAAGAGTATAATAAAAAATTATATGACAGAAAAAGTAAACGTATTGAATATAAAGTAGGAGACCTAGTTTATTTAACCAACGAAGCTATAAAAAATGGAAAATCACGTAAATTGTCATCTTATTGGTCAGGACCATATAAAGTAATTAAGGTTATATCAACGACGAATGTAGTTATAAAAGTTAGAAATAAAATTATTAATGTACATACAAACAGACTAAAACATGCGTTTGTTTCAGAACAAAAGGAATGAACATGCTTCAGCTGTTTATTATTTTAACTTCATTAATGTACGTATTAGGTGTAGATAATATTTATAACATAAGCACAATAGACAAAGGTGGAATATATTTTGAACATTTAGGAAAGGTTAATCATTTTGATAGTGAATGGAATTTAATAACATTTTTAAATATTGATGATATTCACAATAAAATAGAACTGATACATAATATTTACAGCCAAACGAAAGATCTTTGTTATCACGAGACTTTTCACAAGTTTTCACTTTGTCAAACCTCTTTAGTTATAATTGAACAAATAATTCCCCAATTAAAAACACAGGAAAGTGTACTCGGTGAATTAATCGGATTTCGTAATACTCATAGAACAAAAAGATCGTATTTCGACGGAGTAGGAAGTATTTTTAAAGTTCTTTTTGGAACTCTCGATGAAAATGACGCCAAAACATATAGCGAAGCAATAGAAAACATAGATAAAAAGGAATTTGAGTTAGTAGACTTATTAAAATCACAATTAAATGTAGTTAAATTAACTATAACGAATTTCAATAACACTGTTACGGATTTGTACCAAAACGAAAAAATATTTAATGATAACCTAAATCTATTAAGAAATTATACCAAAGAAATTGGCAGTAAAATATTTGATATTAAAATGAAGCAAGATATCGATGAACATATGTCACTTTTAACTTTAGTCACAACAGAGGTAAATAATGAAATTTCTACGGTAATTAATGCAATTCTCTTTGTAAAGAATAACGTATTACATCCTATTATCATCACGCCAGAACAATATGGTATCGAATTAAGGAAAACTGTTTCATATTTACCACCACAAACGAAATATCCACTAGAAATTAATGAATCCAATATTCCAGAGTTACTATCTTTGGCAAACTTGGCTTGTTTTGTAACTAGTAATAAACTTATTTTTGTAATAAAAACACCTTTAATAACTCAAAATACATACGATTTATACAATGTCATGCCTGTTCCTATTAGAAGTAGAGATAATACCTTTTTATTTGTACTACCTAACTTTAAATATTTTTTAATATCTGGAAACAAAATACATTTTACAAGTTTAGATGATTTGGATAAATGTAAAAGACTTCAAGATGGTAGATTTATTTGTAAATTACAATCAGCTTTATATTCTGTGCATACTAGCAAGACCTGCGAGTCTGAACTAATGTATGGTAAATCAATATTGCCAGCAGAATGTGACACACGGGTAGGTTTAATCAACACTGAGCAATGGTACAAACTTTATAATGAAAAGAACTGGATTTTTGTGTGTCCTAACAAAGTAATAGCAACTTTAAATTGTAAAAACAAAGAACCTGTTGACATCGAATTAATAAATACTGGAATTTTAAAATTATCAGAAAATTGTAAGTTGTATACTACCAATATTGTATTGCAAACACAATCAACGAGTATGTCAAGTAATTATAATTCTATTTTACCTACAATCGATATTGTATCAGACGACTGTTGCAAAAAGATAAAAACCAATAACATAACTAATATAGATTTTATACCAATTAAAATACATGAAAAGTTAGATCTAGATAGTTTAAAAATTGCGAGCCATAAAATAGATAAAATAAATGAAGCTATTAACAAAGTAGAGAATGAAACTATTTACGACAAGATTTCAAACAATTTTATTTATTCTTATATGTTCATGTCTGCATTTAAAATGTTCGTTTGCTATTTGATTTTTAAAGTCTTAAGATATTTATGGAGAAGACGATTCTTTTGCGGACGTCGCAATAGATTGTTAGCTTTGGAAGATACAAGATCTTGCTGTACTAAAATTACAAACTGTATAACATTTAAGGTAAATAGTACAGAAAACATAAGGGATATAGAACTAGAAGAAATTCCTTCTAGCAGCAGCGAAACCCCATTAAGGCGTAGTGCTAGAATAGCACAATTAAAAATAAGTTAAGTATATTTTACATAACCAATAATATTTTTGATTTTTATTAATTGTAATGTTTTGTATATCCATATAAGTTTGATATTGATTTTATAAGATACTGTTAGTCATATAAGGTGAGAAATAAATATATTATGATTTTTGTATTATTTTAGAATAAATTATGTGAAGGTAAAATATCCGGAATAATGTATTAAAATAAACCCTGTTTATTTTCTTAAGGAGGGAGGATTGTAATGTTCCAAGAATATATCTATAGAGTAAATAAATATAATAGTTAAATAATGTAAGTCATTTACAAAGTAATCTATAAGAAGGATGTTTGTTGTTTATTTTCGATAATGGTTTAGGTCTAATTCCTTAATGATATTGTTTGTGTTTATACAACGTAATTATCAGATACTATAAAGGACCTCCTCCGCCATTGTATTAGTTAGTAACAAAAGTAGTAACAAAAGAGAGAGTAACAAACGACAGTTCTTCCGAGAGTAATAAACGAGAATAATAATAGAGAGTCACAATCGGTCACTCATAATTCGGAGTCATACTTAGACAGTCAAGATCGACAGTTTAAGCCGAACAGTAGTATAATATATTGTACCGCGTGTGTTGTGTGTGTATGTGTTTTGATAATAAACCTTTAATATAATCATAAAGGGTATTTCATTCGAGTCTCCCGCTCCGAATATTACAAATGGTTAAAAATAGTTTATCTTTACTCAACACCAAGAGACTTTAAGACATTTAAATAAAAAAATTTCAAAGTTAAAACTTTTAACTAGAAGGACTACTTCCATCTTCAGCCCCCCGTGGCACGTTAGCTGCGAATAATCGGACTTGTCGGGATAAAGTTAAATTATTAAAAAGTTAACTAATATATTTCGCGTTTTAAAGCGTTAATAGTGTTTTAAAATACATTTCTTTGTACTTTTTAATTCATTTCAATCCATTAAGCTTATAGTCTGTGGTACCCTGAATGTTATTTTAAATGTTACCGAAATAAAATGCAGCATCCGTCATTAATGGAATCCGAACAGAATTCAGCTGAGTTTACTCATTTCAATTGTCTTTGTTCAACTCCGCAGAGACGTAAAAAGAAATTGAAATATTTTCTTATGAGAAAGGACAAGGAAACAGGCATTTTGAAGAAGAAACGCCATCTATATATTGCGTCAGTACTAAAATTAACATAGTCTACGATGTTATGAAACACAGACAAGCTATTCAAACATATAATAGAGATCGCTTACTTAGTACGCTATTAAACTTTTATCTCTTTATTATTTTCCCGATTGATACGATCCCATAAAAAAAAATCAACACATATCCATCGTTCTGTATTTTAGCACACTCTAAGGTGGTCGATTTAATCGTAGACGTAAAATAAAACAATCTCGGAATTCGCGATCCGGAATTAGTCCGGCGTGTGTTTATTTGTGTCTGCTGTCTGCCGGTATGTCCATAAACTACAGTGGCGCCACCTATATTTGGGAATTTGGCGGGAAAATGTAAACAAATCGATTTTTAATGCCTCGTGGTATTTGTATTGTTTACTGTCTATTTGGTTTTTTGGACTGTTTTTGTTCAAGTTCATTGTCAGACAAGAGACGCAATGTATAGGATAGGAAACTATAAAATATTTTGTTAACTTCAGTTAGTTTCAAATCTTAGTTTTAAAAATCGGAAAAAAAAACTTTTAAATTAAACGGTTTTATTATTTGTGCACAAATTACAAAAAAAAAATTAAATTTCGACATAATCATCGTGTTTTACTAATGTAGCCCTTTCATTTGATACCCATATAAAAATATGTAATCCGCCATTTTGTAACGGCGGCCATATTAGATGTTATTGATTTTATTATATTGTATTGTCATCTAAATGTGTGTACCAAATCAAGATGTGAATGTGTGAGTCAGATCAATCTGACAAAGGGACTGTGCTTAAATTTCAATTTCTAATTTTGACCGTTAAAACCGTTTACCAAAAATTAAGATTACTTTATTTTAGCACTTATCTAGAAAAGTCATTTTTTTTAGTAAATATTAACATCGCAATGTTGTGACCATTTGATACATTTAGGTTTTACTCCGCCTTCGAGACATTTTCCGCGGACTTTGTCCCATTATTCAAGAAATAAATTCCAACATAATGTAATTCGCCGCTCTGCAAGCTAAACTTATTCAAAATAGCCCAACAATGAGATCTTGAATCTGAAACAGTGTATTGTTCGCTTACGTCTTGAGTGTAAGAGCTATCAACGACTTTATTTTGAGTGGTTTTAAGAACGGTTGCGTTCTTATAAAAACACTTAGAATTCGGTACTTGTAGTTGGAGTTTAGGCCAATTGCTCTTACGCATTCTCGCGGGAGAAGGAAGCACCGAAACATCGGGTTTTACGTTACAATATATAAGACTTTAAACTACTAACATAAACTATAGTTGTATTGTGCTTAATTCTTATTTTTTTCTTCTAGGAGCTCTCATTGGCGGTATCCTCGGAGGTATGGCGATGCGCCTAGGCCGACGTCGCGTGCTTCTAGCCGTGGCCCTTCCGTATACATTGGCTTGGCTAGCTACAGCACTGTCCAACAGTGTCAATATGATTTCTGTCACATCGTTCTGTGGGGGCATGATCGTCTGCTGTATTACTATGATCACGCAGGTAAGACGAATTTAGGATATTATGTTATTACTTAGGTATAAAACTTCACATATATTGTCTTAGCGATTTACAACACGTTAAGTCACAAGTGAGTTAGTCAGTCAGTATATTGCAGTCCTAAATGATAAGCAAATGGATCTAAAATATATGACGAAAGTGCTGAAGACCTTCTAAAGATACATTATTATATGATACATCAGATTGAATAGCAGTACTCCTTGAAATTTTGAAATTTATAACTTGCAATATTTCTATATACAATGTCTACGCGGCTATTGTACAAAGCCTTGTTTGCAAATCATTAATTAGAGTGTAGAGACCTATGTATCCAAATATCATAAATAACAGCTAACAAATTGCTTTACTGCGTGGAACAGAGAAAATAATTCGAATAAGCTAAAGAACACGTTGTCTCTTACTTGGTAGAGGCTTTGGTTGGAATAATTAAAAGATTTTTAATAGAGTCGTGACAAATAAGATTTTGACGTTAATTATTACAATAGAGAATTTTAAGATTTTTTCAGAGGAGTTTATTGGTCTAATAAAACGAGTTTAAATACTGACTTTGTACACATTTAAATAAAACACTTTTAACGGTTTGAAAAGCGAAATGTAATTGTTAAAAGTATTTTATCAAAATGTCATATTCACTGTTTACAATTTCATACGAATTCGATAGATTATATGCACTGAGCCATACATACACTTCCTTTTTTTACTATGTCCAATCGAATTTATCTCTGGAAATTCATTGACACGCAATTACAACAATGGCGGGATAGTTAACAATTTAATTACATATGAGCAGCCGCGGTCATTAATCTTGTTACTATAATTAGTTTTATGCGTCTGATATCTCAGTATCTCATATACAACGTCTTGTACAACGAGGCGAATGGTTACTGAAGTCACTAGGACTACCAGTACGGGCAGTATTGGTAATCGATCGAATCCAATCATATTAAGAAAATATACGAAAATATATTTTTTTGATCTGTAACTGTAGAATTAATTGTGTCACTTCTCAACTATTTTACTTTTGTTTGTATTTAAATATTCATAAAGCTTGGAGCTTAGTACAAAAGTCCGAAATTAAAACAAATACACATCGAAGATATTACGAGTTTTGTTGGCAGAGTTTAAGCCAATCTAGATTAGGACGTTTAGTTTTTAGGACGATAACCCTAAATAAATAATTGGAACACACGCAGAAAATTAACTACATGTATAATGTAATAGATAACAAACATTTGCTGTCGAAGTTTTTACCTTACCGCAATATCTAATGCAAATAAAGTTATGTGCAAAATTTTATCTATACCCATAAAACAAAAACACTACCTAAACATTATTATTTATTAACAATAAGAACAATATTATTAGTTACATAGAAAATTATTCATGAGAACAGGACATATCGGAACCTGTAAAAGATAATTCTGAAAACCTATATTACTCGACTACGGCGAAGTTAATAGAGAAACTAATGATTTTGTCTTTGTATATATGTTTCGCTCTAACGGATTAACTATACCAATTTAATAGAACCTAGATGTCTATCATTTAGTATTAGGAATATTTAATAACTTTTTTAAGAGAATTTGATTTGTTCGTGATTTCAATACTTTAAGAGTTTTAATGTTGAGTTGACTAGAGTTAAAAGTATTTTGTAGTTTATATTAATGAAAGTAGAAAAATTACATGTCAAGAATGTACACATTATAACTGAATAAATCCGTTTTGAGTTACCCACGTCGTAATATGGAAATACGAAGATAGGCAAGAACTTTTGCAGCCCATATAAGGTTTGTGAATATTGTGCTTTGTTGGGTTCCACTGACTGTTAATGAGTTGTAGCGGTTTCTGTGGGACTTGGAACTGCCTTAGGAATACAGTTAATGAAATTATTGTACTCCGAGCTTGAGCTTCTTGTCTCACAACTCAACCAAGTTGGGGAGTGTGCACTAGTGGTACTTCAAACCAAGATTGTAGATATTCCGAAAAAAACAAAATCAATCTACTATCAGTAACATTAAAGAACTGATTTATGTTCGAGAAGTATATATTTTTTTATGTGTACGAGTGGGTATGGGGCATCACAACTGGTACAAAAAAGGGGGCAAAAAATTAAATTGTTTATTTTCAAAATGAATGGGAAAAATTCTATACCTTTTTATATTATTTTAGTGGTCATTTTAATATGTCTTGGATCTCTTTGTAGAAGAACAACAGTTTAAAGTTATTTCGCAATACGAGCCCCAATAACAATACTACTAAAATACATCAGTACCACACGAGGTACGGCGGTGAACGGTATTCCTAGAAAATGGAAATTTCATTTTGTTATCAATATGTTTCGATAGGAATCCAATTTCCTGCGATCAGTAAGGCACATAAACTTTCATATCGGCTGTCGGCTGTACTCGAGGCGACATGATTACGTTATATTTATTGTCCTGTAGGGAGCCCCATTGGCCTGGTCGTGGAGCTCGTTTCTCAGTATGGACTTAAAATGGGCATTTCTGCTTTGGGCCTCATGTTAATAAACCAAAGTCTCGCTGAGAACAGGTCGAAAACGAATTAGGAAAGACAAAGCCGTATTATCTCTCTAAGGACACTTTAACGGTTTAAAGTTAAAGCAAGTTGATGAATTTTTACCTACGAGCCGACGTCACGCATGCTTTACAGTCGTACTCATCTCGGATCTAATATTAACTATACGTTTCGTGTTTCGAACCGTTTAAGTGTTTCGTTTATTGTGTGCCACTCTATTAATATCACAGTTCTTTCAAAGTTGGCCGGAGTTTCGCTCTTCCGTATAATTGTAAATAGTTTTTTTATAAATATTATTTTGCTTTGTCAATGGTTGTTACTAGCAATGTACGTTATTGACGTGTTGAGATGTACACGGCCGATCTGTCACGATCTGTAACGACTCCGTAATTATCACAGCACCGGCATGTTATTAGAAACGCTTATTATCCTTTGTGTTATTTGAAAGACTAATTTTAACGTCTTAATTCGAACTGCTTATACAATGGAAGGAGAGAGGCTAAACCTTGTTTTACATAAAAATGGACTGTTTTATATAAGCAATGATGTTTTGTGTTACACTTCTGAAATTGCTAAAAGTACAAAAGTAATTTGATAATAAGGTAAAAAACATTATTTAAGTCGGAATTGTGATATAACATGTTAATAACAAAATTTAAATGTTTTGTAATGTCTTATTTTAGGTAACAATACAGCGTAAACCATATGAAAATAATTATTGAGAAAAACTAATGTAAATTTTTTGTCCTCAGGTCTATGTAACAGAAATAGCAGTACCCGAAATACGCGGTTGCCTCAGTTCGGTCCTCAAAATTCTCAGTCAAATTGGCATTCTCATCTCTTTTTCACTCGGAGCATACCTAAATTGGCACCAGCTCGCTTTGGTGGTAGCAGCTGCACCCGTACTTCTATTCGTGGCTCTCTTATTCGTTCCCGAGACTCCTTCGTCCCTCTTGCTTAGAGGAAAGGAGGAGAAAGCCGCCGAGTCTTTGCAGTGGCTTCGAGGACCCGATGCAGACATACGGCAAGAACTAGCCACGATCAGAACAAATATTCTAGCAAGTAAACAGTTTAATGATGGTAAAGCGGGGAAACTGAAAGTTCTTCTATCGAAACGCCTCACCAGACCTGTTCTTATCACTTGCGGCTTGATGTTCTTTCAAAGGTTCACAGGCGCTCACGTCTTTAACTTCTACGCAGTTCCGATGTTCAAGAAGACATTCAGAATGATGAATCCTCACGGTGGTGCGATAGCTACCAGTGTGGTGCAGTTGTTGGCTTCCTGTCTATCCGGTATGCTCATCGACAACGTCGGCAGACTCCCACTTTTAATGATAAGTGGAGTTATGATGTCCATAGCATTAGCCGGTTTCGGATCGTACGCTTACTACGAAGATGTCTTCAGACACTCTGCTGATTTATCCCATGTCGAGCCAGGATACGACTGGATACCTCTAGTGTGCGTCCTCACTTTTACGATAGCTTTCTCGCTGGGTATAAGCCCGATATCTTCTTTGCTGATCGGAGAGTTATTTCCCCTGGAATACAGGAGTACTGGCAGCGCATTAGCTACGAGTTTCAGCCATCTCTGCGGCTTCGTGAATGTCAAGACCGCTGCTGACTTTCAAGATCACATAGGCCTTTACGGTCTCTTTTGGCTGTACGCGGGCATATCTGTCCTGTGCCTTTTATTCGTAGTATTATTTGTTCCCGAAACGAAAGGCCGAGAGATCGACGAAATGGATCCGAAATACGTCGAATCTTTATGCATTAACCGATAGTATTAGTTCGTTATAGATTAAATATAGACTGATATACCTATTGTAAATAGTGACGCCGTGTTAAGCCTTCAACCAGTATTATAGTTAGTTTTAAGTCTCCTGTTGCCTGATGTGCCTTATCGAATTCGTTCCAAATACATCACAATGACATTATGTAATGACAGATTATTTCCGATAATAGACTTATATGAAACGTTCTTAAATTTTGGAAGACAAGAGTAGCTATTGATAACATATGTACAGTAATGTAGGAAACTTTTATATAATATTTGAAAATGTGTTAAATCTTTAACCCATAGAAGAAACCAAATTTTAAAGTGGTTTTATTTCATTAAGATCTGATGTTTAAAGGGATTTTTAATACCAAACTATGTCCAGAATATTCCATAAACGAAGATTCTTATTGTGCGATGTAAGATATTTAATGAAAATTATATACATGTTCCTGAACTTTTGTTGAATTATAGACACTTAAATACTTTCTCTCTCTCAGTCTATAGTTTACGCGAGTAGTACACATTTAAATAAAACACTTTAACAGTTTAAAACGCGATATATTAGTTAAACTTATTTGAAAATGATTTTTAACTTCGGCCCGACGTTTCGGATGCTTTTCAGCAGCCGTGGAGACTAAGACCAGTTTATAGTCACTTTATCGCTCTATAAACATAAAAAAATTAAATATAATCTAACATTTTTTTTTGTGCAATGTAAACATAAATAACCTCCGATCGCCAAAAAAGTGTCTATGAACTACAAATGTGACAGTTAATACATATTTATACATCATTTACTACTGGTATTGAACTTAACATTTTTATTTATAATTTTCATCTTAATCAAATTACAATATTATTAATGAAATCTAAACGCATTAAGGGTTTAAATGCTTTAAAAGTATGTGCTTCCAGTAAGCAACTTTTTGTTAAATATATGTATATGTACAAAGTCGAGCTTACTAATAGACACTATAAGTGACATGTTATCATCGTCGATGGATATAGAAATAGTTTGAATTATATTGGCCTTAGAATTAAATGGTGCTAAACGGTGTTTTGAAATTCAAAAATATTATGTTTTATAATAAATAGGGCAAAAGTGGCAAAACCTATCCCGTCTAATATCGTATTATTTGCCGTTCGTTTAATATATTTGTAAATAGTTTATTTATGTAGTGATAGTGTTGCCATCTGCTGTACAACACAAAGTGTATTTTATGTACTTAATGATATTAAGAGTTTTAATAAAAAGTCGATAATAATTTGTGTTTAATTTTAAATAAATTTAAGTTATACAAAATGAAACTTTACAACATGGACGATAAAACAAAGAAGTTCAAGTACGCCTGCCAATAGTTTAAGAGCAATTACACATCGCGGACATAAGGTGAATAGTAATTTCAGGCGCTAAGCATATTCGTGACTCAAAGGTCGTCTTAATATTCTTCAAGTACCACAGCCACAGCTTCATACAAATATAGAACAATTAATTAATGGCAGCACGACATGTTATTCAACATGATGCATCGATTTCATTCTGGTCCATTAGCGTAATAAATCAGATTAAGCGCTCAAATAGGTTTGGGTTCAAAGAAACCACTTGAGGAGAATTGTAAATGTATACTTCGAGTGCACTTGATATATGCGCTACTATTATCTTAATACGTTTCGACAGAGCAGAGAGATTGGCTTCACCAGAAGCTGCTTAGCGCTCATTCATTTTTCCTTGGAATAATTCATCATTATTACGCAAATCGTTAAGAGATTCACACGACACAAGTTTTCTAGCGAAGTTGTTTTGTAGTACAATTGTTTTTAATTTAAATATTGAGCGGGAGTGCTGATTATGCTAGTCTACAATCTATTGCGATTTGGATGAGGTAGGTTTTTTCCGAGTAACGAGTGGAAAAAGTCCAATGCCCCGGGCACTGAGGTGTATTCTATAATGTCTACACGAGAAAATCGATTCGGCAATGTATTTTAAGATATTACACCCCATATGTTTCCACATGAGTATTTCAAATAACTTTATGGCAAAGATACAAATGTTTTAAAAGTCCTTGTCCAAAACTGAGACATAAATAAATTACATGTTCCCACAAATGGGATGCGGTCATGTATTTGGGTTGAAGGCACGATCGTTTCGCGCTTGTAGTATGTACATCAAAATTTAAAGAAACGTCGGGCCGAAGTTAAAAATCATTTTCAAATAATTTTAACCAATATATTGCGTTTTAAACCGTTAAAGTGTTTTATTTAAATGTGTACTACTATAGACAGTATTTCATCAAAATTTTGTTACCCCAGTAAGAGTCACAGCTCAGATTTAAGATAAAATACTCCAATTTCTAACGCCCATCCTGAGATACAACTTGAAAACAAATATCATGTATACCGAACAAGTCGTCAATCGATGGATCTGTATATCAGTGTCGGGCGAAATAGACACTGCCAATAAACAATGAGTGCGAGCGAGATGGAACGAGTTAATTTTCATCGCCGTGGAAATGCAAAGGATGCATGTACCTTGGATTTACATTTAGCCGAGCAGATTCGAGCACAAGTTTCTAAATGACAATAGTGACGATTATATAGACACCTCGTGCCGTGTTTATGCAGTATAATATTATTAAGAGCAGAGCAGTAACCGCTTGTTAGAAAAGACCAACGGGTCGTGCATTCGATCTCCATCGCTCCGACATGTTTCTAAGCAATTTATAGTTTTTCCGAAACATCTTGGATTTTGTCTGAAAATCTGGATATTAAATGGGTAGTTACTCTAAGTCTACAGATGAAAAAGCCGTGTAGTTTAATCGCGGTTTCAGTCTGTGGTTTTATTATGGCATATAGTTTACCTACCATCAAGTGAACTTCACACTTCTCTGTCTCGTCTTTTCTGATCTCGTCTGTTCTCGCCTATCGCTGATAGGATTTTTAATTATTAAGAGACGACATTTTGCGATAACAAATTATTCCTTTATTTGGTCAAATTTAATATGCGCTATACATATATGTATATAATGTAAACTTTGTTTTCTTTTGGATATTTTCTAACTTTTTAATGTGATTTAAGTAAAGTGGAGACCAAACCGTGCACGAAAATTCGAGTATGCTTCTTACAAAATCCAGATAATACATTTAATAGAATTTACGTTTGAGAAGGTTTTACATATACGTTTAATGAAGCCCAGCTGTTGTGCTTATATGCCCATATGCTTTATCTATTACGAGATTTATATGAAGAGAAAGGTTCATTTTATCGTCTAGTTGTATACCTAAGTCATTAATTGAATTTAACATTTTTGATTGAGGTGTCATTAAACTTGTAATTAAACTGTATTTTATTATTTTTTCTAGTAAATTTAGGTTGTGAAAAAAAAATCAAGTACGTAATTTGTTTTTACAATTTAATTTAGCATTGGAGTTGTTAAGTATAAGCCTTAGCTGACTTTACTTGCGAACTCGAAAACGTGGACGGACTTGTATAAAGTAGGACAAATTGTGATAAAGTCAGATTAGTCTTCGCGAAATGAGTTGTTTTTATATGTATAGAATGTGAAGTCCACTTATATACAGTATGCCCTAAATTACCCAAAAAGAAATTTCATTACAGAAGATTTTTGAGATCCTTATTATCAACAAATCGTTCGATTTCTGCCGGGTTCGACATGTTTTGAAAACTTTAATACGAAAACGATAAAAAAATCAATATTTCGTCCGTGACTCGAACCACTGTCACACATGCTAAAATGTGCCTTTCGTTTTCAATCAGTGGATTTCAGATTTACCGAAATTAGGCTAACAGACAATCTGGTTAGATGGAGTATGACTGTTGTTTTTATTACACATTACTTGCCTTTATTTTACACTTTAAAGTCAATTTCTAATTCTCTTAGCATAAAGTTAGAAACAGATTTTCTAGGTACGGTATTATCAATATAACATAGTCTGTGAATATTGTCTGACGATACACAAGCTACCTTCTAAATGAAATAACGATAGCTATAGAAACATAATATACGGTCTCATGTAGAGATTAAATTTTTTAATGAATCACTGCTGTTTTTAAATACCGTTTAATGTAAAATATTTAAGCAAATAATATTTTTTCCCACACCGACACGTCTTCCAATTTATATATGTTTTCTCCGAAAGTTACTTTTTCCATGGCTATCTTCTAAATAACACACTTATAACAGTTTTAAAAGTGAAATTGTTATTAGTCAACTTATTTACAATTTAACTGATCCCGACCTTACGAAAGCTTTCCACCAAACGTGGTCATCTTCCCACGGGTTAGCACTAATTAATTAAAAATATTTTAACAAATACATTTTGCGTTTAAAACCGTTTATTTAAATTTACTAGCGTAAACTAATGCGAATAATTGGCGGCTGTCCTTTTTTAAAAGGTTGTTAAATTTATGATATTGTGTTAATATTATCAAAAAATTGCATACTGTATATAATATTGTGAACTGAGAAGTTTTCGCCCCGGCCGCTGTAAGCCGTATCGTGTTTATCCAGCTTACGGATTCATTTTTAGCTAGCTATTACACATGGACCTTTATATCAGGACATAGCATTTAAGTAGAAAAATTGTGTTACTTGAACCGCAATAATTGGCCAACCTCACGGCCAAAGTTTTAAAGATACTTACTTTTGTTTGTTGTATATTCTGTACACTAGCAGCAGCATAACCAATACATTGTATTGCTCTCGCTATATGGTTCATGAAGTATTGTCGATACGTTAAATACTTAATATAATTTATTGTATAATATCCGAAGCTTCTTGGCACTTCTACAGCAAAATATGAAATGGGGACAAGGTCGCAATCGTGTCATGTCTGCTGGCAGCTTTATCGTGACTTTAACTTTACTGCAACCTGTGCATCAAGCATATAATGGAGGAACCGACTTACACAAGCATGAGGTCGTCAATGTAATACCTAATTAACCATCTGGGCTAGACGACAAACGGGTTTTAATGTTTATTTATA